TAATCCGTGAGTTCTATATTAACTCCAGGAGCCAGTATGACAATTGAATTGAATGTTGAATTCCCAGTTTTTTTCTGGAATACTGGAGAATTGGTTGCTGATGTTGGGAATGCTCTAGAATTGGTGTCAGAAGTGGGACTTTTTGGACCAGTGGCTAATGAAAAACATGTGGTTTAGGAAGAAAAAGGAAGAGAGCATGGGAGATGAGAAACCTCTGATCCCTAGCCACGTGGTCACCCGCGTCACGGAGCAGCAGCTGTGCGGTGATCAGTTCCTGCAGGTAAATTACCAAGGGTGTTCAGAGACCGATCCAGCTTCCGAGGAGCTGGTTCGTTGGATGCATAAGGAACTGCAGACTAATGAGAAAGAGATGTCGTATACAATCCTTTGGTTATCTGTGCTGACTAAAATGAAATGAAAAGAGAGTTCTGCGTCACACCTGAATGCGGGACCAAGCTCAGATTTCGGTTGGTTTAAAGCTTTGGTTACTAGGCTCAAAGCTGCCCCACGGGAAAATGATGCGGTAACCTCGGAGAGTACCTCTAAGAGAAGGTCATCAAGAAGGTGATTCACATGGGGTCTAGGCAAAACCAAAAAACTACTGAAACCGGGGGTATTGTGTGAAGGAGTTGTCTCATTTTACAAATCAGTACCATCGGCTTCTGCAGAATCTTTACTAAATGGATTGTGAGAATGACTACATTAGGGGAATGTCATGCACGTGCTGCCGCTGGACCCACAGCTCAGTATAAAACTAAAACTATAAAACTCACTAAAATCACAGATGGTTATGCATGACCCAGACCCAAAGCATGCTTTTCCCATGGGAACAGCCAGCCTGCTGGCCTGGCTAAAAGCTACTGTAAGGTCTCTACCCTGAGAAAGAGGACTGCCCAGCTCCCTCTGTAAATGCCAAGTGGAACACCCCAGATGAAGCAGTTGATATGCTTCGTCGGTAAGCCATACGGGACTGGCTTTAGGATAATCAAGATATTCACCCACTGAATATGCCTGTTACTGAACGTGGTAAGCGCTGTAGTTTCAGGAGGTGTCCTAAAAACGTGCATGTTGGATAGGGTATAGTAAAGTCAGTGCAGCCGTAGGAGGAGATGAGAGTGAGGCTCGGAAGGGAGACGTGTATTACACTCAGAGGTCCTAGAGACAGGGGCACCACAGGCCATGCAGGGCCGTGTGCGAAAGCACCACTGTCGGTCCAAAGGCAGAAAAGGGGAGGGGCGATCCAAGGTCAGAGTCTTTACTGGAGTTTCTGAGAGAAGGCGCGGCAGGACAGGAAAAGGAGTCTGAACAATACCGGCAGGTGTTGGGACGTAAGAGTGGTCTCTAGTTGTCTAGTACTTAGCCCCGGGACTCCCCTGGATTTGGGGCTGGCTGGGGGGAGAATATTAGCTTCCTGTATGAGAGTTAGGTAAGAAGATGGTTGGGGGATGGAGAGTCTGGGTTGTTTGGTTTGTGTATGAAAAACAGTCTCCTGGCCAAGCCCTTTGCCATTTCTTAAGAATTGGCCCTCCCTGGGAAGGACAGTCTTTGCTCAGGTCTGTGAGGTCCCCAAATGTACAAGTGTCAAAAATACAGGAAATAAGAAACTGTAGTTAATATAATTGCCCTTGTGATACATGGATGCCGAAAAGACATACACAGACTCTAAGAAAACACAGAGCAAGGGTCCCCTTTGCCAGCCACCCCATTTAACCTGACTGCTGCAATATCAGGCAACATTTTAAGAAGCTTTATTGAACTTGCTCTCTCAGCTTCCCCCTCTTGGGTCTTACAGATGTTAATAAAAGCATTAGATTAATTAAAAAGAAAATGAGGAGAGGCAGAGGGAGAGTCAAGGGACTTGTTCCAGCAAGGTGGAAAATTGTAAATGGTTATTAAGCAATTAGGTGAGCCCTGGCCAGGTGGCTCAGTTGGTTGGAGCATCATCCTGTACACCAAAAGGTGTACACAGGTTTGATCCCAGTCAGGGGCCATACCTAGGTTGTGGGTTTGATCCTTTCCCCTTTCTCTAAAAATAAAAAAAAAATTCCTCAGGTGAGAACTAGAAAGAAAGAAAGAAGAGAGAGAGAGAGAGAGAGGAAGGAAGGAAGGAAGGAAAGGAGGGAAGGAGGGAGGGAGGGAGGGAGGAGAGAGAGAGAGAGAAAGAGGAAAGAAAGAAAGAAAGAAAGAAAGAAAGAAAGAAAGAAAGAAAGAAAGAAAGAAAGAAAGAAAGAAAGAAAGAAAGAAAGAAAGAAAGAAAGAAGGTGAATGAAGGAAACATTGACAGGGCCAAAACAAAGACAAAAGGGAAAGGGGGAGAGTTAAGGGGCTCGTCTCAGCAGGGTAAACATTTGTAGATGGTCACAGACTGGGGCTTATGGCGAGTCCTGTCCCACAGTGACTACTGGGGGTTGGGACTGGAGAATTTACATTTAGCCTGTGATTGGACACTAGTCAACGCCCCCACCCCCATGATTACATGGCAAAAAACCACCCTAATATCTGAAACACCCATATCTTAGATGACGTCAGAAAAATGCTCTATTGGCCAGGGCAGTGCCCAGGAGAGTTCCATAATAAAGTAAAAATGGTTTATACAGGATGCTGCTACGTGGGGAATGCACGAAGGGGATACTCATTAGTAGGGAGATTTTTTTTTCTCTTGAGACTGACTTGAAACTGTGTGAGGAGCTGCCAGATTCTATCGTCACTTGGACAGCATCCTATACACAATTTTGACCGACCAACAAGAGCTGCCTGGTTATGGATGGCAGTTCCACGGTGAGTGGACAATATTCCGTTTGTAAGACTACCACTCGGGTTGAAGAAGAGAAAAACAAATCAGCTCAGTGAGGCGAGTGACATGCTGTTTTCCTGGAAGAACTGAACAATGATTAAAAGCCTCTGTTTGGGTTTTCACCCAACTCACGGGTCACGACCGTGCCCTGGCCACATGGATATGCAGCAGGGACAAGGAAAACCTCGTCTGTTAAAGGATGCCCATACGGGGCACCGCCCTGTGGAGATCACTGTGGAAATCTGAGAGGTCCATTAAAGCGGGGCATGTTGATATCCATCCGAAGAACCCCCTTCCAAGTTTGGAAGGTGACCGAAGCCAACGAGTGAATGCGTCCATGAAATGAGCAGGCATCTGTGACGTACTGGCTTGAGATGGCCACCTGGGTCCGTGAAATGAGTAGACACTTGGGCACCTCAGCCATGGAGGTCAGGGGGGTCAGCCTGGATATGTTCCCTTTTCACCCTTTGAGGCCCAGAATGCTAACGAGAACTGTTCTGTCTGTTAACAAAAGACACAACGGCTATAGATGACTATGGGTAAGATTCTTCAGGGAGGAGGCCCCACACATAGCTCACCAGTGGGTTATACTGAACCAATGCCAGGAGCCCCAGAAGGGCTACAGATGAGTTTTGACAAAACAGACACTCACTCTGGACTGGACTTCACTTACCGGGTGGCAGATGCCAAGGGTCAGAATACTAAAAAAGAACCAGAATGGAAGACATTGCACCCATTCAGACTGTCAGGTCACATTTCTTCAGACCAAGGAATACACTTTACAGCCCGTGATGTCAAGCAATGGGCAGCGAGATAGCTTCTTTATAACATTATTTTCGTAGAGAATTGTTGTTCAAGACCCTCTGAAGCCCCAAGGTGCCTCCCCTCACCCTTAGCTCAGAATGTCACGTACGCCTCCTCTTCCCGCTCTGTCTCCGAACCTCTCACGTATGTGGGGTGTCCGACTCCCTCACGTATGTGAGATTCCCATATGTATGCAGGTTGTTAAACTTGTTTTTTTTTCTCTTGTTAATGGGCCTCATGTAGACTTAATTAGACCAAATGATAGAGCCCTGGAGACTAAAGGAAAGTGTCTTCCTCTCCCATACCAGCATCTCTAGATTTTTATGATCCTTTTGCTGTAAGAGACTCATGGTCAAGAGAGGGTGGCCTGTGGTATAGCACAAAAATATATTTGGTCCGAACCCCAGATTCCTGGCACAGAGTTTCTAAAGCCCTTGGAATTTCCTGAGTGATGAGAGTATATTTTGTTATTAAAAACAAGCCCCTTTCAATCCTACCTGAATGATTGATGCTACAGAGGTGACTTAGGGTGGGGACCCTAAATTGCCTCGGGATGAGCTGGTCCCGGAAAGACCCAGTGATTAAAGGGCTGAAACTTTCAGACCCATCCGCTTAGGGGGAAAAGGGACTATTGATCGAGCTCTATAACAACTTTTGAACAATGGGATTCAGAGGGCTTCTGGGTCGCTGAACACTTTGAAGTGCGGGGAGTAGGGTGCACCCGGAATGGGCACGGGAGCTCTCCCACACCATGTTCTTCTCTAGGCGTCTCCCACATGTTGCTGTTCCTGAGTCGTATCCTTGACAACACACAGGCAATTGTAAGCAAAGTGCTGTCCTAAGTTCTATGGGTCATTCTAGCAAAGTATCCCACCTGAGGGAGGTCTGTGGGAACCCCCGAATTTGCAGCCAAGCTGGAAGAAGTGCGGGAACCTGGGGACCTGGTACCTATAACTGGTGTCTGAAGTGAGGGCAGTCTTGTGACACCCATCCCTTAACCTGTGGGTGCAGCTTAACCCCGGGAGTTAGCGTGAGAACTGAAACGCTGGATGCCCAGTTAGCGTCTGAGGCTTTGGAGAATTGGCTGTTGGTGTTGGAGAACACCTCAGACAAACCTTTCTATAATGCGCATGTATTATTCTCATAATGAAAAAATAAACATAACCTTTAAATAATAAAGTTAGTCTATCTTGAACACTGAATAAGCACCTTGCATTTTCAAAATTTGTTGATCTCGACAGCAAATTATTAAATGCAGTACTTCTAACATGAATAAAACTGAATTACTCCCAACTCGATCCACGCACACAAGTTTTCCTTGGAAAGCTCCTGATTTCTTCTTCCTGTTAAGTCTTGACCACATCTATAACCATCAGTTATTAGTCTGTATGCTACAGCTCACCTCCTGTATCTTCGTCTTCATTGGCTGGGCATTCTGCACTGTCCGCGTTTTCTGTTTCATGAGGTTTGGTTACACTGTAGTCATTTAAAATCACTGGGCCTTCTAGGAGATAAGAAGAATTTTAACTATGCAGTCAACTTCCAACATTTTTTATAAACATGTATCAAGTACATTCCCAGCTCAGCTTCACACAAACCCCTAGCGATAGACAGCCCAAGCCGGATATATGTGAAAACTCCAGAGGTTTAGGAATATATCCGGGGTTCATGCACCTTTCCGTTAGACATGAGTTTCTTGAATATTTCTTGGCACCTGAGTTAAAACGCACTTGGGTTGCTTCTGGACAGAAATTCTCTCTCCTTTGGGATGCCTCACAATATTCGCTAGGATGTTATTGCTATTTGTGACCACAAAGTATTAACATATATCGATGAGAAACACTTAGCCTAAAAACACTGTCATGGGGAAAGTTGGGGGAAGATGCTTTTCTTAGAGGAAACCTGTAAGCTTCCTATTCTCGTTTTCTGTTCACGTTGTAAATGCAATTCTGTGGGGAACAAATTGGTCCTCAAGTTCCTTTATTTCTTCAAACATGTACTAAATGTTGAGAAGGCTACAGGTATGAATAAGTCAAATCCCTGTCCCCAAGGAGCTTATACTCTGCAAATGTAGATAAGACAAGCCCTCGACTATAATGCAAGACTCAAACAAGAGATAACACAAGCCTGTAAGGTAGACTCGGACAAAAGACTTAGGGAAATACGAAGTGTTATGGGAGTTCATAAGTGGGAGGGAGTATATACAACAAAGGTGTGCTAAAAAAAAAAACAGCAAACTTATTAAAAATCAAGTTTCGTGGAAATGTAATTTTGTACAATAAATGATAATATTAGAAGAAAAAAGGGAATAATGGAATTATTTCACAAGTAAAGCATGGTAGCTTAACAAAAAGATGAGAACAAAAGAACTGAAAGGCTAACTACTTTCTTTCAAACTCCTTCCCAACATTCATTAAAGTATTTGCATGCAACCTAGAGTCAAAGACACTGAATCCGTGGCGTTCAAATGGGGCTGAAGCAGGAGAGGTAACCAGAACCTCTGCACGGTGGACCTCACAGCCACGGCCAGGACGCCACACATGGGGCAGGGCTTTTACTGGAATGCGGGAGTAAAATGGAGACACGCTTCATAAAATCCATGACTGAGAGGTCCTGAAAAATGGGTCTATCAAGGACTCATGTTTCACTTTATAAAGAGGTGAAGTTTCCAGCCCTGGCTGGTGTAGCTCAGTGGATTGAGCGCGGGCTGCGAACCAAAGTGTCGCAGGTTCGATTCCCAGTCAGGGTACGTGCCTGGGTTGCAGGCCACGGCCCCTAGCAACCGCACATTGATGTTTCTCTCTCTCTCTCTCTCTCTCTCTCTCTCCCTCCCTTCCCTCTCTAAAAAGTAAATAAATAAAATCTTAAAAAAAAAAGAGGTGAAGTTTCTAATTTCTGCATATCGTGACATGCACTCTGTGAGCTCTGAGAATCTGTTATAAACAGTGGTTCACTTTTCTCAAGCCTGAAATAACTAACACATAAAGAGCACGCCTGAACAACTCATATGGGGTATAGGTTCAATGAAAATATAAGGCTACAATCCACAGTAATATAAAAAGACACGTATGTGATAAATTTTGTAATACAACATAAGCTTTGATTCAAAAAGTGAGTTAATCAACAGAGAAAACATAGAAATTACTTTTAGGAAACAAATTATTTTATTTTTTAAATTTAATTTAATGTATTTATTTATTTAAAATATTTTATTTATTTATTTTTAGAAAGAGGGGAAGGGAAAGAGAAAGAGAGGGAGAGAAACATCAATGTGTGGTTGCCTCTCCCGTCCCCCCGACTGGGGGCCTGACCTGGCCCACAACCCAGGCATGTGCCTTGACTGGGAATCGAACTGGTGACCCCTCGGTTTGCAGGCTGGTGCTCAATCCACTGAGCCACACCAGCCAGGGCAGGAAATAAATTATTTTAAATGTTCATAGTTTATTTTGAAGCAGAGGTCTACAAACAATTTGACCCCAAGGGTCAAATCTAACTGTGGCTTGTCTCTGTGTGGGCCCTGGAGGTGGGATGGTTTTTGTGTTTTTTAAGGGCTGTAAAAAATATGAAGACGTATATGCAACAGAGGCAATGTGGCTCAGAAAGTCTAAAATATTTACTATCTGGCCCTGTACAAAAACAGTTTGCTGATCACTGTTCTAGAGTGAGAAACACAAGCTTTTCAAATACAAGCCTACTATATTATTGAACAAAAACTGTCTTTATTTAAACCAATCAGTTGGAAAAACAACAGTGATGAACACTACGTGGAGTGTGGTTTGGGCCTCTGATACCAACGAACTTATATGATCCAAATGGATGAGTTATTTTTATATCAGGAAGAGACAACACAATTTTTTGTCCCCAACACATGTCCATAGTATTTTTGCTGCAATCAGAAAGTTCTAGTTTCTTTGGCAATTTCAGTAAAGTTGTATTTCTAGACAGGAAAGACCTGAGGTTACCTGTGGGCACAGGCTGCTCCTGACTGCTTTTCAGTTCCATGTTTGGCTTTATATCTGAAAGAAAAAAAAAAGATCATAAATAGTGTTGCTTAGAGTAAGTCGTGTTTTTTTTTTCAGATTCGAGGATGGTGCATTCAGTAAGGGTACCATTTTGGAAGCTTCAGCTGCAGATCACCTCTTCAGAGCAGAACTAGTCTTTCTCTATATCCTCCCTTTATTCTCAACGAGAATAAAAAGTAATAACCACACAGCAATTGTGTTTTAAAGAGATCAAGAAGAAAAATTAGTAATTTGCATTTACCCACACATTTAATATTTCTGGTGCTTTTGATTTTTTTTTTTTATGAAGACCTGAGTTCCCATCTGGTGTCATCTCTCTTTAGTCTAAAGAGCTTCCTTTGGCATTTTCAGCAGAGCCACAGTGTGAGTGACAACTGAGTTTTCATTTACTTGGAAATATCTTTATTTTGCCTTCAATTTAAAGAATATTTTTACTTGATATAGAATTCTGGGTTGACAGTTTTCTTCTAGCACTTTAAAAATGGCATCCCACTGTCTTCTAGTCTCTGCTGTTCCTAAGTTAGTGATAATATTTATATATTATGCTTTTCCTCTGAATGCTTACAAGATTTTCTCTTTACCTTGGTTTTCAGCAGTTTGACTGTCATCTGGCTCGGTGTGATTTTATGTGAATTTATCCCACTTGGGTTCATTGAACTTCTTATCCGTAAAATTATGTTTTTCACCAAACTTGGTAAGTTTTTAGCCATTATTTCTTCAAAAATTTTTCTCCCCCATTCTCTTGCTCTTTTCCTTTTAGGACTTCAGTTGCATATGTATGTTGGACTTTTCATATTTTGCCTCAGTTCCCCGAGGTCTGTTCTTTTTCCCCTCAGTTTTTTTTCTTTCTGTTGTTCAAATGGAATATTTTCATTAATATATCTTCAAATCTTCTTACTTCCTTCTGTGATCTTCATTTGCTGTTAAGTCAGTCCAATGAACTTTCTATTTCATATATTATAATTTTTAGTTGTCGAACCTTCCATTTTGTTCTTTTTTTTATAGTTTCTCTGCTGAGATTTCCTGTTTGTTAATTCACTGCAAGCATATATTCCTTTACAGCTTTGAGTATAATTACTGCAGCTGTTTCCGATCCTTGTCTTCCAATTCCAATATCTATGCCATCTTGAGCTCAGTTACCACCGATTTCCTTTTCTCTTGAGTATGGGTAACATTTTCCTTTTTATATGAGCTACTCATTTTGGATAACACTCAGGATATTGTAAATATGTTACAGAATTAGTGAATTCTGTTATGTTCCTTTGAAGAGTATGGGAGTTTATTTTACTTTTAAAAAAAATTTTTAAATAAATTTTTAAAAAGATTTTTAGAGAGAGGGGAAGGGAAGAAGAAAGGGAGAGAAACATCAATGTGTGGTTGCCTCTTGCACGCTCCTTACTGGGGACCTGGATTGCAACCCAAAAATGTACCCTGACTGGAGATCGAACCTGCAACTCTTTGATTCACAGGTCCATGCTCAATCCACTGAGCTACACCAGCCAGGGTGTACTTTTTAAAGCACGTAGTTAACTTGTCTGGACTCAAACTCAAATTCTGTCTTAACAGTGATGAGCAGCAGCTAGAGTAACCAGATGTCCCAGTATGCCTGGTATCTAGGGTTTCCCAGAGACCCTTCTAGATGCACAAATGTCTGTTTAGATGGACTGCTCAAGGACCAGCTACAGATTTGGATCATCCAGAGGATGTATACAAAAAAATAAAATAAAATAAAAAGCCTTCCCTGCCTTCTCTATTCCAGACTTCTCCTCCTTACTTTTTAGCTGCTGGCTTGCTATGTTTTTTATGGAGAGTTTTTTAATTGTTTATGCTATTACCATCGTCCAGACTTTTCCCCCTTTGTCCCCCTCCCCGCAGCTCCTTTCCCACAGTCAATCCCCGTACAGTTGTTCATGGCCATCGGTGATGCATATACGTTCCTTGTCCAATCCTTTCATCTTCTTCTAGCCAGTCCCGCCTTTGCTGTGGTTTTTTAAGCCAGTAAAACTACAGATTGTGTTCCCAAGTTTTGGTCACCCTGAGGCTAAAACTGGGGCCTGAACTTGGACAAAAAAGCACATATAACAAGTTGATTTCGTCATTTTTCAATGCCTTCATTTTTTTCATATTTTATCCCAAACCAGTCATTGTTATCTGTTGGAAGTTTGGTTCAATAAGACACACTCCTCCACTACCAGAAACTGAAAATCAGGGGGGGGAGGCGGAAGAGAGTGCAGGAGAGAATAAATGGTGACCTGGGGTCAAGTCTCCTTGACCTGTGTGTGGGGTGGTGAACACACTATATACAAATTATGTGTTATAGAGTTGTATACCTGAAACTGATATAATTTTATTAACCAGTGTCATCCCAATGAATTCAATAAAAAAAGAAAAAATTGAAAGTCTCCTTTGTCTTTTATTTTAATGGTAATCATATACCCAAAACTGTTCAAGATAGTACTGATTTTAAATACTGTATCATAAAATGTGGTCATATTCCAATTTTTTTTGAAAAATATAATCAATATATTTATATTATATTCTAATTTTTTAAAAATTAGCACATCACCATTAGATGTTAGCAGCCAAACATAAGGGCTAGGAATATACACATATTTTAAGAATTAGCAAAAAGGTAGCCTGGTGTGGGTGTCAAAACCCAAGAGAGGCTAAGGGAATGCCCATACAAAGAATGGGGGCGGTCTAGGGCAGCCTCCTGGAGACAAAGCAGCGTGAAGAGTGTGCCTGCGTGGGGTGTGCAGTCTGAATGAGGTGCGGAGGGATTCCCTAATACATGGAGGGCAGGCAGCATGGAAAGTCAGAGCCTGAGAAAGGTAAGGAGGGCATTCAGGCAGGAAAATCGCCTGACTTGGGGTATCAGAGTTTGAGAGGGGTGAAGAAGGTAGCCAAGCGAAGGAACAAGTTAGCATGAGTCAGTGCCTGAGTACAGTGAAGAAGACATCCATGCATGGGGGTGCTCTGGTGTGGAGTTGCAGAGCCAACGCAGGGTGAGCAAGGCGCCCACACATGGGACAGCGGGGGCTGGCACCATGGAACCAAAGGGGAGCAAGGAAAGCTTCTGCGCATGGGAGTGGTGCAGGGCACAGCGTCAGAACTCGAGTCAGGTGAAGAGGGCATCCACGCACTAGCAGCAACCTTGCAAGTACTTGAGAAGTGTGTCCACACAGAACAGGGGCCACGGTACAGGATGCCGGGGCCAGCATCTGTGCTGAGAAGGATCTGGTAGTGGCGATGGATGGTTGGTTATGTAAAGGAGGATTGCTAAAACAAGTATCAATAATAAGGATAATGAGAGACACGTTTTTCTCTGTCAGAGGAGATACAAATATGAAAATGTGCAGTACTGCATTGGAATGGAGGTAGTGGCATACTTGCCATACACATGCGTGACTTCTACACAGAAATATAAAATACAGGTGTAAATGTGTGTGTGTGTGTGTGTGTGTGTGTGTGTGTGTGTGTACCTACGGGTGAACATACAGGTAGTCCCTAGCCCTGCCTACTGAGAGCACCTGGGAGCAGCGACACACAACAGCTTCTAGGATTCAGATACTAACTTCCAAATGTCACTCTCCACTGAGAGGAGCCAGGCTCATTGGAGAAATGGCTGGTTCTATGGTTGGAGCAGGGAAAGTACGAGATGAGTCTGGAACATTTTGTGTGTCAGAAAGCAAAGAAGTGTTCACAGAATGAAGAGGATATGTTTAAAAAAAACACAGAAATCATCTTGAATAGGTTTCTACTGGCCAAATGTGGAACAAGGGAGCATCAAAATAATGATAGTATTGGACCGTAACCCACTGAAACAAACAGAAATTCACGAGTCCCTATTGACAGTAAGTGAATAAAAAGTCTGAAAACAAATGGAATATTTACATAGCTTCAATGGGCTTCTCCCCATAATACTTATTACAAGGATGAAAAGAATAACCGTATGATGGAGAGCCGACCAACAGCACTGCAACTGAGCAAAGGGACCATCATCAGTAATGAGACAAATGAAAATTATGTGCCACCTGACAATGAGGAGAATACAGCATCACTTCTGTGATATTCCTGCCAAATAGGCATAACATGAATCTAACCATGAGAAAACAAACAAACTCTGATTGAGGGACAGTTTACAAAATAACTAGTTTGTAATCCTCAAAATTGTCAAGGTCATGAAAGACTGAGGAACTCTTCCAGGCTGAAAGAGCAAAGAGTTAGGACAGATAAATACAATGTATGATTCTCAGTTGACTCCTCCTGCAGTAAAGAATAGAAGGCAAACAATTGGAGAAATTTGAATGAGGTCAAAGGATTAAATGGTAGTAATGTAGCAATGCTAATTTCCTGATTTTGATGGTTGTTTTGTAGGAGAAGGTAGAACATACACACTAAAGTATTCAAGGGTGATAGGACATCATGTCAGGAACTTACTCTCAAAATTTCCAGAAAAAAAAAATAGTTTTGGGGGGTACTGCATTGTAGCTTTTCTGTAAGTTTGATCATTTTTTTCAAGTTAAAAAAAAAGTTACCCATGAAACTTTTAATTGCATACTAAAGGGATTCTTAACAGAAAAAAAAAAAGCAAGAAAGAAACCTAGCTCAAAGGTTTCACATGAGCAACCTTCATGTGAACATCTTCTAGTTACTACAGAGCACGATGACTTTTGATTTGGTGACCTAAAGGAAAAAGGTCCTGGTCCCCTGAACCTTTTAAACCCTGTGACAACATTTACAAAGCTTTCAATATTTTTTCAAGAGGCCTTTGTGTGCCAAAAGTAACAACAGAAACAACTGAGTAGTTTCTAAGAGAGGATTCTGACTACCTTACAACTCAGAACTTAAAGGAGACATTAAAATCCATCTATAATCAGGTTACATGGGTGATGTCCTTAGGTACCAAAGAAAATACTGAAAACACAAGGACAGAATAAATTGGGGTATATTTCCTTCCCTGAACTTAAGGTCTTTATAAAACATGAAGCCCA